AAAGCATTCCCCAAGTAGCATTAATAAGATGGAGGAGAAAATAAAAACATGATAGGTACAGTAATATGTTCGCTGTCACTCTCAATTTATTTAAAAGTTATAAAAGCATGCGCTTCGTGAAGATACATAAAAGAATAAAATATTTCTCAAACAATCTGTTTACATACAGTATTTATTTGACAGAAGATATTTGTATTCGTAGATCAATGTTTCCACCCTCGACAGAGTGTTGGTGAAGTGAAACGTAAATAAAGTTCGTAAACTATTGGTTGAATAATTGAGCTGTAAATAAATTTCAATGTCATAATAATAATATATTTACTCTAAATAGATGTGGTTTTCGCTTTTTTTGTCTTACTTTATGTGTATTTTATCAGATATATTACGACAGTGATGAGTTTTGTGTAGTGCACCCATTATAACTCAAGGAGAAGCAATGCAAAATTCATATAAACCGTAGAGTTAAAGTTAAAATATCTACCATTTATTATATTGGTTATATTTAGCATTAACATACCCCATATTTTACAGTTACTTAAGAAAATATTACAGATATTTTGCTTGAGAAAACATAATTCTGATCATCTTATAGGAGATTTCTAGAGTAAATAAAAGTAAATTTATATGAAGCCTCTGTATGTGTTACATGATTCGACTCACGCTAGAAGTTTTATGGATCCTTTTATGTTAGAAACCTCATAAAGGTTTGGTGTAAACGAACCCGTAACTTTATATCCAGTATAACAATATTGATGTTTAGTTTAAACATCTTAATATTGGATTTTAAGAGTAATTTTAGAAATTGCTTCTTAAGTAAAGTAAGTTTTTCGAATTAAAAATAGAATTTATTTATAAATACAGCAGATAAATTAGTTTTTCTCATTTTAAAATTGTTGATAAAGTAAATTTTTAAACTCAAAATAGCAGAAGTTATAACTACAAAAATAAACAAAATTACAGAAATATCAATACTTAACATTATGAAACTGCTTTCTAATATTACAACTAAAATATTTTTATGTTTAAGTTTAGAATATTTAGTTTGTTTAAACATTTTTCTTTATTTATTTAAAGACAATTCAGTTTACATAATTAAATTTAAAATTAATTATGATTAATTTATTTAAATATATTCAAATATTATTCATGTGATAGTCTTTAAGTAGAATTTAATATATTTGTAATTTTAAAATGCAGGGTGGCCAAAAATCAATTAACTGATTTAACTTATTTTTTTAATATCATGGTTAACTAACTTTTGGACCACCCTGTGTTTGATAGCATTTATTACACTTGTTAACTACATAAAATCGTTGTAAAATATTTTAATAATTGATTTTATAGTAATATATTTATTAAATAACTTAGAAAATTAGAAAAATAATTAGAATTACCGTAATTTATTACTTTCATAATAATATTTGTAAAAACATTTCTTTTCACTTATAAAAATATTAATTGCTTATAATTAATTTTATAACTTATTTATGTATTTAATATTTTTTCAAAAGGAAATGAATATTATTATAAAGAAATAATTTTAAAATTTTAAAATTAAAAAAAACAAACATTAAAAGTCATTTAGATATTTAAAAAATACCTTCAATTCTAAGGATTAACATTAATATCTTAAGTGATAATGAAAATATATAAAGCTTAATTAAGAGAGATAAAACTCTTTAAATTTTATAATTTTTAAGAAAATGTATAAACTGCAAGTCTTTTAATTAGTTGATAATTACTTTAAACACCTATATATTAAGTTATCTGTTAAACTTGACATGCTAGTGTCATAAATTGTTTATTGCTTTGATAATCTTCGCACTTTTCCAAGATTAAAATTCACTCTCCTGGTGTAATTATATTCATTTTAAAGTAATTCATTCACCAGTATATGATATTTAGTATATTTAATCTTGTTTATAGTTTAAAAATATTGTTTATATAAAATTTTAATTATTAATTATGTATATAGGTAGTCCAAAAGTCAGTTAACCGTTATAAAAACTAAATCTCTCTCTTATTCAAATATTTTGTAAGTAATATATTATGATTAATTAATCATTACAATTGTTAACTGACTTGTGGACTACCATGCATAGTTAAATACAGTATATATTTTATATGATTAATTATGTTTTATTCGACTATTTTAATAGGTTAATTGAATTATGATATGTAAACTTCAAGTAAGAAAATCGAAACCAAAGTATGAAAGTTAAATACATTTATAAAAAATGCATCATTGTTTATCTAATTACACTTTGGATTCGCCGAATGGCACCATCACCACCCCTTGCAACGTTACTAATATGACATCCGTTAGTGAAGACGATGATCTTCCAGATGATGTTATTTTTTGGGATCATCCCGAAGAAATGCTTATACCATGGCTTGTTAGCAATTATTTTTTTCCTATCGTTATCACCTATATCATTACATTTGTTGTGGGAGTATCCGGTAATGCTGTCGTCATATCAGTCATGGCAGGTGATAGAACATCCAGAAACGTAACGAGCATTTTTCTCGTAAGCTTAGCCGTTGCTGATCTCCTTCTATTAGTTATATGTGCACCTTTGGATGTGGCACATTATTTTGTAGTTCAATGGGATCACGAAGGAGCCATATGTAAATTGGCTGCATATGCCGAAACTGTATCTGCATTTGCATCTGTACTGAATCTTGTTGCTGTGACGTTAGAAAGGTAACAATATATATATTTTTTATTTTAATTATAATTGAAAATTAATCTAACTTAATATTTTTTAAATTTCATTATTTTTAAATTATTATTATGAATTAAAATAGAGTTCTATTATACTTAAATTACTATATACTGTTTAAATAATTTATTTATTTTCTTAAAATAAAAGGTTAATATTTCAAATATTTATTTGCTTTTTATACAGTATACTCGCTTTTACGATCGGATTAACCTTTGTTAATAGAGCCGTCGTAAAGTGAGACGTCTTATTTCCTATAAGCTCAACGTCATAAATTCAGATTACGTTCCAGGAAATGGGGTTTTAACTATATAATATCACATTAAGACGGCTAACAAATATTAAATATGGTAGTAAAATACAGCTTCTCGTATAGTCGTAATAAGAAATTTATACTAGCCATAAAATAGGGAATTGTAAAACCAGCGGTCGCAAAGCAGGGATATTTTCTAAGAAGTTCCTTCAAAAATTTATGATACTTTTTAAAATTTTAGACGATCAATTAGCAGAGATTTAACGATTACAGCCTTATAAAACATTAAGAAAGTTTTATAAAAAATTCAAATTTTTCTTCATTTCGAATACAAAATATTTATCATTTTTAAACGAGAATAATATAATATATTTTATATAATTAATTGATATTTAAGTTTTGCTTTGAATTCTTATTATTTATTTTTTAATATATATATCAATATCTCTGTAATACTAACCAGAAAGAAATACTCAAAAATTGTCAGTACAATTTATATTTATTTTAATGTTTTTACAAATAACAAAATTAAACTTTCTCAAATTTTTATTTAAAATGTAGTCTAAATTATAAATTTAAAAATTATTTATAATTTATACTTTTCATTTAGAATCAGGCTCAAGTCATAAATGTATCAAAAGGAACTTTAATTCATATCGCTTTCGTATTTGTTTTTTCCCCCTCCCTTCACAAAAAGCGAAATTTTAAGGCCTTTACGCTTGGCATTTTGAAAAGACTAGCATTTATACTTTGCCCGTTAAGTGCAACCCTGTTAAGCACCGAGGCCCCATTAAGCACGAGGCCCTGTGCTAATACACAGGTCGCACACTGCTGAACTCTGTGTTCGAGGCCCGAGTCGAATGACCTAGCATTCCCTTTCTATCTGGACCTGCATATTTTACATAGATATGTCATTAATTTATATAAGTGTTATAATAATCAACAATGCAACAAATATTTTATAAAGAATATATTTAAATACTTCTCGATATGAACTTAATTAAATAATTTCATAATTATACATAAATATAAACTTATAAAAACTTAAAACGTATATAATTTCTGTCATTTTATAGAAAATGTTTAAAGATTTTTTATAGTTTTATGCCGTTTTAAAAAAAAAACATTTTGACATTCTCTGACATTACATTACAAAATTTCAAAAATACGTCCGTTTCTTTGCTTTAAAAAATGAGTATAAAAAGCAAGAAGCAGACATCTGTCAATGAAAGATATTCCATTTTTTTTATGGAGTAACAGGTAAATATTACTTTTTCGGTAAGAAGAAGTAGACAAACTTTTCTATCACTCACATTGAATAAACGATAACATTCTACTTATTCTGATCAAACTCTGAATCCTTAAATTAGACATCAGTGACCTAGTCAATGTCTACTTTGACTTTGATATTTTCTAGAGTCAAACCACGTATCTTTTTAATCTATGTATTAGTTCCTCTTCGTGTTATATTACTCCGATTTAGGGCAACCGAAAAACCAAAAAAAAAATAAAGAAAGTTTTATTTGGAAAAGGGTACGTGACAAGATTAGACACTCTATCTCTTATTGTATTCACTATATTCTCTTAGTATGTACGGTATCGGGATTAAACTGGTGGTTCAAAAAATCAAACTCTCTAGTCACGGATATTTGTATAAACTTGTTAAACAATTTGCATTCTTAGCAACAGGCACCTATTTAGAAAGCTTACAGTATACATGTGGACACTCCATCTTATTGCTTTGAAAAAATGAAAGGGCAAAAATATTAGCTTTCAGTATTTAAGATTTCCCTGAAAATTCTAGCTAAATGACCATTTTCTTTAAAAATTTTGATAAAATATTTGATTTTATGAATTATTTTATTAATAATTTTTATTTCCTTAACATAAATTATCCATAAATTGGCACTCTTTTATAACTTTGTATGAAAGAAAGGGCATAAATTCTAACTTTTGGTAATAGGGAACCTCTGAAAAATTTTAGATATGATCATTGTCTTTAATATTTTTAAGTTTTGGTCTTAAAAAATGGCTTTTGTGAGTTAATTTATCATTAATTTTATATTTATATAACAAAAAAATATATATGGCGCAGTATATCTTTTCTTTCATTCAATGCTTTGTGTTTAAGAACATTGCAAAATTCTAAAAATAGGCATTTACTTTAATAATTTCGATCTTTTTGATTTAAAAAAAAGTCAATTTTAAAGTTTTTTTTTATTATGAATTTTATAAATTACTTTTTGTGTACGTATAAAGTCAGTTAACCAATAAGATTCTTAAAGGTTAAATATATTTCTGTTAACTAATTTTTGGACCACCCTTTTAAATGTACTTAAAAATTTTGTAGAAAAGTAACTGTAAATTATTCATTTTTAATACAGATTCGTCGTAATTGTTTTCCCAATTCGTTCAAGATCTGTTTGCACCATGAGCAACTGCAAAAAATTAATGATTTTTGTATGGATCGTTTCTCTTCTGTTAGCAATCCCTGCAGTCGCTACTAAAGTAAGATATTTTTATTTTTATTTTATTACTGTAATATAAAGTAAACTTGACATCAAAATAAAAAATCTGTTAAACATTAGAAAGTTTTATAATGTTTTTTTATTGTTAACAGCAAGCGTATAAGAGTTTATCAGATATTTATGATCTATTCTTTAGCATATTAAAATTGGCTCCGTTTCAACAAAATACTCTTTTAGATTAAAAAAAATATATATATATATATTTTTTTAAAAATACTTTTAAATTTTTTATTTTGAAAGTTAGTTTTCAAGGTTAAACAGTTATTTTTATTTGAAGAAAAATGATTTTTTTTATGACTTCGTGTATGCGTTTTTATGGCCGATTTAATAACCCCGGCGATTAATTTAATGTTGTAAAATGCTTTTTAGTAAGAAATTAAGTAAATTAATAGTTTTGTAAAAACTAAATATTTTGGTTTAATTAATGGAATTTATATTTATTTTGTTTTAGAATATCGAAAAATTGATATTTACTAACCACAAAGTAACTGTGATCCTCTTCTCTTGTAAAGAATTGGATGATTGGAGAGGTTTTACAGTGGCTGTTTACCGTTTAGTTATGCTATTTGCTTTACCTTCCGTTCTGATGATTGTCTGTTATGCTCGAGTTATCATGGAATTGTGGATCAGCACAAGAACTATGGATGAATTAACTAATACTGTAGCGAATGTTGGGTAAGTAATTAATAATAACTTTAATCAAATAGATTTATATTTGTATTCGTATGAAACCGAACTCAAAATTTACATTATAAACATACGCTCCTCAATTTTATAAGTTCAATGCCGTCGTAAAGCGAGCCGTTATTTCCATACGCTTGGTGTCATAAATTGAAATTACGTTTAGGAAAGTTAATTTGAACTATATAATGTCACATACTGTTGAGTAATAAAAAATATGGCGTTTAAATACGACATTTCTTACAGCCATAATGGAAAATTTACTCGTTAAAGCGAGGGTTGTAAAGTGAGGTTTACTTCTTATGTAAGAAATTCTTATATTTAACTTATATTCTGGTACGTAACATTGAAAATTTAATAAATACAAAAATTAAAAGCATAAATTTTTTAAAAGTTTTATAAAACTGTAGTATTTTGCAAAATAATAATAGAGCATTTGTGCTGGATCTTGAATGTAGTATATAAATAAATAAAAAGTTTGAATGTTTTTACACAATAGATGCAATAGACTGAAAGAATATTAATAAAATAATATTCTTTCAATCTTTATAATTTAACTTTTAATGTTTTTTAATTAATTATTTATTCTCTTACTACGAATCAATAGTACTCGGCGCATTCTTGGGGGGGCCGAGTTGAAATGATAAAAAATGTTTTAATGTGAATTCAATAAAATGTTTACCTTATGTGACCGCTAATTTGTAAGTAGTATAGAAATAGAAGAATACCACAGAATATAAATAAAAAAATGAATTTTAAAGACTTTTGGAAAATTTTCTACTGTTTGTTTTCCTTTTTCTTTGGAGGGGGCCAGGGTCCCTTAGCCTTTCTTGGGTGTGTCAGAGATGATAGATTTATAAGAAATTGAAATGTTTAAACAAAATTTAGCCTTTCATCATAAAAATCTAGAGTGTTTTGAATAGGGTTATTTGCTGTGTCATTTATTTTTAATACTGAATGATGATTAAAAAATGATTATTCAATATTTGTCCTTACGTAAAAATAGCTTTTGAATATTTATTTACTTCATGAAACTTTTCAAAAGTGTTTTTACCATTACCATTGCAATATTTGATGTATTAGGCAATATCTCAAATTGACAGTTTAAATTTCCATAAAATACAGTACTAGCATTCAAATTTGTATTTTTACATATTTTATCATCAAAAATTTTAGAATATTTTAAAATAGAAACTAATTTGATAAATATGTGTAGGCTATATTTGGTAGGACAAGAAAAATTTGTGCTGAAATTTCTCAAACTCAGTAGCTAGAACTTAGATCTGTTCAAAGATAGCAGCTTTTCTAGCTCAGATATATTTTCAGGCATCTTTCAAACGACTTTGGCAAAGCATTCTCCCTTTTTCAGATCAACTGACAGAAACAGGAATAGAGAAAGACCACAAATTCAGTTCTGGCACCGCATCAGCTGAACAATAGAAGATGGTTGAGAGAGTCAAATCTTCTGACATCTCCATTCTCAGAGGCATGGAAAACTTTAATTGAGTCCTATACAGCAAGTCCTCACTCAATGTCATTTGAGGAAAAATACAAGTACTGTACATTTGTAATCATTTACAATTATTTCTGTTGAATTTCCCTTACGAACAGTAAAATTGATTCGATGAGGTGGAAAAATAAATGCTGAAAGTTGAAAATACGATTTGATAAGAATAATATACTGGCCTAATTATATCTAGTTTATATCAATTAGCCTATGGTAAAAATTGATTTCTGTATGTCGTCTCGTTGAATATTGCAGTTTCCAAGAACCCATCGATAATGAGTGTTGACTTGCTGTTTATAATCACTATATCGTTATAAGAAAATATGATAAAATAAGACAGACAAGTTTACTGACACTAATTTATAAAAATATTCATCTAGAAATATTTTTTCATAATTTTATATTTAATTAGCAGGGCTGTGGAGCGTAATCAGAGATCCTGAGTTTAAGATGACCCNTTATATAACGATGAGAGTGAATCTTCATATACATATGTGTACGGCTCGCTTTATAATTACCTGCTTTACGACTTGTATAAATTTTCTATTGAAACTGTACGAAGAGACTTATGTTTCGTCGGTTATGTCTGTATAGTATTATACGGTAGTTTTAAAACTAGTTATTTCAGGAACATTATCTTAATTAATGACATTGAAGTTATGTGAAATAGTACGCCTCGTTTTACGACGATTGGTTGAACGATAATGTATTTATTAAGTCTTAAATGAGGGAGTCTATTGTATTGTATTTCAATACATTTATATAGTTTTTTATCTGCTTTATATTTATCATTGATTACCATCAGCATCACTTTTGCTTAGCTGCACAGAAAAAGAAGGAAGAAATTTAGAATTACTTTAACTTTCTTTCATTCTTTCCTGTAATAGAGATACAGTACCTTATTACTTATTTACTTATCAAAGAAAGATAAATCAATTTGTTTATTTGGTAAATTTGGTAACTGTTTCCATTTTACTCAGTTCCGGAAGCTAAATTTTATCCATTTTCTATGGTAAATTCTTCTTTTCTTGTATAAATTATTTATATTTAAGATCCAATTGTATTAATTGAAAGATAGGACAGATGGATGCATCTTTGAAATTATTTTTTTTCTTTCTACGTGACTTGCTCACTTCCTGTTTATTCTTAAAATTAGTCCTTTCTTGCTACTTGAGTCATGTGACATGACTTGCTCATTCGTTGCTCAGTCTTAAAGCCACTCACTTATTTGTCATGTGACCTGCTCACCCCTATTTATATCAAAACTATGAATACTATTAAAGCGTTAATAAGAACATTAAAACAAAATGATTATATAAAATATCGAGTCGAGTTTCATAATTGCTCTTAACTTAAAAAACACGTAATTTAATTAATAAATTTTAATAACATTTTCTCTCTATTTAAATCAATTATGTACTTATTTATTTAATTTCAAACTTATAAATAAAATTATATAAAAATTTTAGAGAAAAATAAGTAAATAAAATCTCATTAAATTGTAAATCAGGCATGCAGTAGTGTTCACTATTTATTTTGCCACAATTTTGCCTCCAAGTTAAATTTTCTTATTCGTTCACACGTCTTACAACATAAAATTAGAGGAGGAAAGAAAAAGAGGAAGGGAGAGAACGATCCTAGTAACCAGCTTTCTGAAATCTTATATCGTAAATCCGTTTTCAAGTTCTAAATTTCATCCCCTTTTTTTAGGTAGTCAAAGCATTCCCCAAGTAGCATTAATAAGATGGAGGAGAAAATAAAAACATGATAGGTACAGTAATATGTTCGCTGTCACTCTCAATTTATTTAAAAGTTATAAAAGCATGCGCTTCGTGAAGATACATAAAAGAATAAAATATTTCTCAAACAATCTGTTTACATACAGTATTTATTTGACAGAAGATATTTGTATTCGTAGATCAATGTTTCCACCCTCGACAGAGTGTTGGTGAAGTGAAACGTAAATAAAGTTCGTAAACTATTGGTTGAATAATTGAGCTGTAAATAAATTTCAATGTCATAATAATAATATATTTACTCTAAATAGATGTGGTTTTCGCTTTTTTTGTCTTACTTTATGTGTATTTTATCAGATATATTACGACAGTGATGAGTTTTGTGTAGTGCACCCATTATAACTCAAGGAGAAGCAATGCAAAATTCATATAAACCGTAGAGTTAAAGTTAAAATATCTACCATTTATTATATTGGTTATATTTAGCATTAACATACCCCATATTTTACAGTTACTTAAGAAAATATTACAGATATTTTGCTTGAGAAAACATAATTCTGATCATCTTATAGGAGATTTCTAGAGTAAATAAAAGTAAATTTATATGAAGCCTCTGTATGTGTTACATGATTCGACTCACGCTAGAAGTTTTATGGATCCTTTTATGTTAGAAACCTCATAAAGGTTTGGTGTAAACGAACCCGTAACTTTATATCCAGTATAACAATATTGATGTTTAGTTTAAACATCTTAATATTGGATTTTAAGAGTAATTTTAGAAATTGCTTCTTAAGTAAAGTAAGTTTTTCGAATTAAAAATAGAATTTATTTATAAATACAGCAGATAAATTAGTTTTTCTCATTTTAAAATTGTTGATAAAGTAAATTTTTAAACTCAAAATAGCAGAAGTTATAACTACAAAAATAAACAAAATTACAGAAATATCAATACTTAACATTATGAAACTGCTTTCTAATATTACAACTAAAATATTTTTATGTTTAAGTTTAGAATATTTAGTTTGTTTAAACATTTTTCTTTATTTATTTAAAGACAATTCAGTTTACATAATTAAATTTAAAATTAATTATGATTAATTTATTTAAATATATTCAAATATTATTCATGTGATAGTCTTTAAGTAGAATTTAATATATTTGTAATTTTAAAATGCAGGGTGGCCAAAAATCAATTAACTGATTTAACTTATTTTTTTAATATCATGGTTAACTAACTTTTGGACCACCCTGTGTTTGATAGCATTTATTACACTTGTTAACTACATAAAATCGTTGTAAAATATTTTAATAATTGATTTTATAGTAATATATTTATTAAATAACTTAGAAAATTAGAAAAATAATTAGAATTACCGTAATTTATTACTTTCATAATAATATTTGTAAAAACATTTCTTTTCACTTATAAAAATATTAATTGCTTATAATTAATTTTATAACTTATTTATGTATTTAATATTTTTTCAAAAGGAAATGAATATTATTATAAAGAAATAATTTTAAAATTTTAAAATTAAAAAAAACAAACATTAAAAGTCATTTAGATATTTAAAAAATACCTTCAATTCTAAGGATTAACATTAATATCTTAAGTGATAATGAAAATATATAAAGCTTAATTAAGAGAGATAAAACTCTTTAAATTTTATAATTTTTAAGAAAATGTATAAACTGCAAGTCTTTTAATTAGTTGATAATTACTTTAAACACCTATATATTAAGTTATCTGTTAAACTTGACATGCTAGTGTCATAAATTGTTTATTGCTTTGATAATCTTCGCACTTTTCCAAGATTAAAATTCACTCTCCTGGTGTAATTATATTCATTTTAAAGTAATTCATTCACCAGTATATGATATTTAGTATATTTAATCTTGTTTATAGTTTAAAAATATTGTTTATATAAAATTTTAATTATTAATTATGTATATAGGTAGTCCAAAAGTCAGTTAACCGTTATAAAAACTAAATCTCTCTCTTATTCAAATATTTTGTAAGTAATATATTATGATTAATTAATCATTACAATTGTTAACTGACTTGTGGACTACCATGCATAGTTAAATACAGTATATATTTTATATGATTAATTATGTTTTATTCGACTATTTTAATAGGTTAATTGAATTATGATATGTAAACTTCAAGTAAGAAAATCGAAACCAAAGTATGAAAGTTAAATACATTTATAAAAAATGCATCATTGTTTATCTAATTACACTTTGGATTCGCCGAATGGCACCATCACCACCCCTTGCAACGTTACTAATATGACATCCGTTAGTGAAGACGATGATCTTCCAGATGATGTTATTTTTTGGGATCATCCCGAAGAAATGCTTATACCATGGCTTGTTAGCAATTATTTTTTTCCTATCGTTATCACCTATATCATTACATTTGTTGTGGGAGTATCCGGTAATGCTGTCGTCATATCAGTCATGGCAGGTGATAGAACATCCAGAAACGTAACGAGCATTTTTCTCGTAAGCTTAGCCGTTGCTGATCTCCTTCTATTAGTTATATGTGCACCTTTGGATGTGGCACATTATTTTGTAGTTCAATGGGATCACGAAGGAGCCATATGTAAATTGGCTGCATATGCCGAAACTGTATCTGCATTTGCATCTGTACTGAATCTTGTTGCTGTGACGTTAGAAAGGTAACAATATATATATTTTTTATTTTAATTATAATTGAAAATTAATCTAACTTAATATTTTTTAAATTTCATTATTTTTAAATTATTATTATGAATTAAAATAGAGTTCTATTATACTTAAATTACTATATACTGTTTAAATAATTTATTTATTTTCTTAAAATAAAAGGTTAATATTTCAAATATTTATTTGCTTTTTATACAGTATACTCGCTTTTACGATCGGATTAACCTTTGTTAATAGAGCCGTCGTAAAGTGAGACGTCTTATTTCCTATAAGCTCAACGTCATAAATTCAGATTACGTTCCAGGAAATGGGGTTTTAACTATATAATATCACATTAAGACGGCTAACAAATATTAAATATGGTAGTAAAATACAGCTTCTCGTATAGTCGTAATAAGAAATTTATACTAGCCATAAAATAGGGAATTGTAAAACCAGCGGTCGCAAAGCAGGGATATTTTCTAAGAAGTTCCTTCAAAAATTTATGATACTTTTTAAAATTTTAGACGATCAATTAGCAGAGATTTAACGATTACAGCCTTATAAAACATTAAGAAAGTTTTATAAAAAATTCAAATTTTTCTTCATTTCGAATACAAAATATTTATCATTTTTAAACGAGAATAATATAATATATTTTATATAATTAATTGATATTTAAGTTTTGCTTTGAATTCTTATTATTTATTTTTTAATATATATATCAATATCTCTGTAATACTAACCAGAAAGAAATACTCAAAAATTGTCAGTACAATTTATATTTATTTTAATGTTTTTACAAATAACAAAATTAAACTTTCTCAAATTTTTATTTAAAATGTAGTCTAAATTATAAATTTAAAAATTATTTATAATTTATACTTTTCATTTAGAATCAGGCTCAAGTCATAAATGTATCAAAAGGAACTTTAATTCATATCGCTTTCGTATTTGTTTTTTCCCCCTCCCTTCACAAAAAGCGAAATTTTAAGGCCTTTACGCTTGGCATTTTGAAAAGACTAGCATTTATACTTTGCCCGTTAAGTGCAACCCTGTTAAGCACCGAGGCCCCATTAAGCACGAGGCCCTGTGCTAATACACAGGTCGCACACTGCTGAACTCTGTGTTCGAGGCCCGAGTCGAATGACCTAGCATTCCCTTTCTATCTGGACCTGCATATTTTACATAGATATGTCATTAATTTATATAAGTGTTATAATAATCAACAATGCAACAAATATTTTATAAAGAATATATTTAAATACTTCTCGATATGAACTTAATTAAATAATTTCATAATTATACATAAATATAAACTTATAAAAACTTAAAACGTATATAATTTCTGTCATTTTATAGAAAATGTTTAAAGATTTTTTATAGTTTTATGCCGTTTTAAAAAAAAAACATTTTGACATTCTCTGACATTACATTACAAAATTTCAAAAATACGTCCGTTTCTTTGCTTTAAAAAATGAGTATAAAAAGCAAGAAGCAGACATCTGTCAATGAAAGATATTCCATTTTTTTTATGGAGTAACAGGTAAATATTACTTTTTCGGTAAGAAGAAGTAGACAAACTTTTCTATCACTCACATTGAATAAACGATAACATTCTACTTATTCTGATCAAACTCTGAATCCTTAAATTAGACATCAGTGACCTAGTCAATGTCTACTTTGACTTTGATATTTTCTAGAGTCAAACCACGTATCTTTTTAATCTATGTATTAGTTCCTCTTCGTGTTATATTACTCCGATTTAGGGCAACCGAAAAACCAAAAAAAAAATAAAGAAAGTTTTATTTGGAAAAGGGTACGTGACAAGATTAGACACTCTATCTCTTATTGTATTCACTATATTCTCTTAGTATGTACGGTATCGGGATTAAACTGGTGGTTCAAAAAATCAAACTCTCTAGTCACGGATATTTGTATAAACTTGTTAAACAATTTGCATTCTTAGCAACAGGCACCTATTTAGAAAGCTTACAGTATACATGTGGACACTCCATCTTATTGCTTTGAAAAAATGAAAGGGCAAAAATATTAGCTTTCAGTATTTAAGATTTCCCTGAAAATTCTAGCTAAATGACCATTTTCTTTAAAAATTTTGATAAAATATTTGATTATATGAATTATTTTATTAATAATTTTTATTTCCTTAACATAAATTATCCATAAATTGGCACTCTTTTATAACTTTGTATGAAAGAAAGGGCATAAATTCTAACTTTTGGTAATAGGGAACCTCTGAAAAATTTTAGATATGATCATTGTCTTTAATATTTTTAAGTTTTGGTCTTAAAAAATGGCTTTTGTGAGTTAATTTATCATTAATTTTATATTTATATAACAAAAAAATATATATGGCGCAGTATATCTTTTCTTTCATTCAATGCTTTGTGTTTAAGAACATTGCAAAATTCTAAAAATAGGCATTTACTTTAATAATTTCGATCTTTTTGATTTAAAAAAAAGTCAATTTTAAAGTTTTTTTTTATTATGAATTTTATAAATTACTTTTTGTGTACGTATAAAGTCAGTTAACCAATAAGATTCTTAAAGGTTAAATATATTTCTGTTAACTAATTTTTGGACCACCCTTTTAAATGTACTTAAAAATTTTGTAGAAAAGTAACTGTAAATTATTCATTTTTAATACAGATTCGTCGTAATTGTTTTCCCAATTCGTTCAAGATCTGTTTGCACCATGAGCAACTGCAAAAAATTAATGATTTTTGTATGGATCGTTTCTCTTCTGTTAGCAATCCCTGCAGTCGCTACTAAAGTAAGATATTTTTATTTTTATTTTATTACTGTAATATAAAGTAAACTTGACATCAAAATAAAAAATCTGTTAAACATTAGAAAGTTTTATAATGTTTTTTTATTGTTAACAGCAAGCGTATAAGAGTTTATCAGATATTTATGATCTATTCTTTAGCATATTAAAATTGGCTCCGTTTCAACAAAATACTCTTTTAGATTAAAAAAAATATATATATATATATTTTTTTAAAAATACTTTTAAATTTTTTATTTTGAAAGTTAGTTTTCAAGGTTAAACAGTTATTTTTATTTGAAGAAAAATGATTTTTTTTATGACTTCGTGTATGCGTTTTTATGGCCGATTTAATAACCCCGGCGATTAATTTAATGTTGTAAAATGCTTTTTAGTAAGAAATTAAGTAAATTAATAGTTTTGTAAAAACTAAATATTTTGGTTTAATTAATGGAATTTATATTTATTTTGTTTTAGAATATCGAAAAATTGATATTTACTAACCACAAAGTAACTGTGATCCTCTTCTCTTGTAAAGAATTGGATGATTGGAGAGGTTTTACAGTGGCTGTTTACCGTTTAGTTATGCTATTTGCTTTACCTTCCGTTCTGATGATTGTCTGTTATGCTCGAGTTATCATGGAATTGTGGATCAGCACAAGAACTATGGATGAATTAACTAATACTGTAGCGAATGTTGGGTAAGTAATTAATAATAACTTTAATCAAATAGATTTATATTTGTATTCGTATGAAACCGAACTCAAAATTTACATTATAAACATACGCTCCTCGATTTTATAAGTTCAATGCCGTCGTAAAGCGAGCCGTTATTTCCATACGCTTGGTGTCATAAATTGAAATTACGTTTAGGAAAGTTAATTTGAACTATATAATGTCACATACTGTTGAGTAATAAAAAATATGGCGTTTAAATACGACATTTCTTACAGCCATAATGGAAAATTTACTCGTTAAAGCGAGGGTTGTAAAGTGAGGTTTACTTCTTATGTAAGAAATTCTTATATTTAACTTATATTCTGGTACGTAACATTGAAAATTTAATAAATACAAAAATTAAAAGCATAAATTTTTTAAAAGTTTTATAAAACTGTAGTATTTTGCAAAATAATAATAGAGCATTTGTGCTGGATCTTGAATGTAGTATATAAATAAATAAAAAGTTTGAATGTTTTTACACAATAGATGCAATAGACTGAAAGAATATTAATAAAATAATATTCTTTCAATCTTTATAATTTAACTTTTAATGTTTTTTAATTAATTATTTATTCTCTTACTACGAATCAATAGTACTCGGCGCATTCTTGGGGGGGCCGAGTTGAAATGATAAAAAATGTTTTAATGTGAATTCAATAAAATGTTTACCTTATGTGACCGCTAATTTGTAAGTAGTATAGAAATAGAAGAATACCACAGAATATAAATAAAAAAATGAATTTTAAAGACTTTTGGAAAATTTTCTACTGTTTGTTTTCCTTTTTCTTTGGAGGGGGCCAGGGTCCCTTAGCCTTTCTTGGGTGTGTCAGAGATGATAGATTTATAAGAAATTGAAATGTTTAAACAAAATTTAGCCTTTCATCATAAAAATCTAGAGTGTTTTGAATAGGGTTATTTGCTGTGTCATTTATTTTTAATACTGAATGATGATTAAAAAATGATTATTCAATATTTGTCCTTACGTAAAAATAGCTTTTGAATATTTATTTACTTCATGAAACTTTTCAAAAGTGTTTTTACCATTACCATTGCAATATTTGATGTATTAGGCAATATCTCAAATTGACAGTTTAAATTTCCATAAAATACAGTACTAGCATTCAAATTTGTATTTTTACATATTTTATCATCAAAAATTTTAGAATATTTTAAAATAGAAACTAATTTGATAAATATGTGTAGGCTATATTTGGTAGGACAAGAAAAATTTGTGCTGAAATTTCTCAAACTCAGTAGCTAGAACTTAGATCTGTTCAAAGATAGCAGCTTTTCTAGCTCAGATATATTTTCAGGCATCTTTCAAACGACTTTGGCAAAGCATTCTCCCTTTTTCAGATCAACTGACAGAAACAGGAATAGAGAAAGACCACAAATTCAGTTCTGGCACCGCATCAGCTGAACAATAGAAGATGGTTGAGAGAGTCAAATCTTCTGACATCTCCATTCTCAGAGGCATGGAAAACTTTAATTGAGTCCTATACAGCAAGTCCTCACTCAATGTCATTTGAGGAAAAATACAAGTACTGTACATTTGTAATCATTTACAATTATTTCTGTTGAATTTCCCTTACGAACAGTAAAATTGATTCGATGAGGTGGAAAAATAAATGCTGAAAGTTGAAAATACGATTTGATAAGAATAATATACTGGCCTAATTATATCTAGTTTATATCAATTAGCCTATGGTAAAAATTGATTTCTGTATGTCGTCTCGTTGAATATTGCAGTTTCCAAGAACCCATCGATAATGAGTGTTGACTTGCTGTTTATAATCACTATATCGTTATAAGGAAATATGATAAAATAAGACAGACAAGTTTACTGACACTAATTTATAAAAATATTCATCTAGAAATATTTTTTCATAATTTTATATTTAATTAGCAGGGCTGTGGAGCGTAATCAGAGATCCTGAGTTTAAGATGACCCCAGTCTCTCTATTATTTATCTATGACTCTCTCAGTTTATTATGGTTATTTTTCTCCCTTCCTACACTTGAAATTACATAAACTGATTTTCTAGATTTTATAATTAAAATTTTATTACATGGATTTCAACCCAGGCTACTATACAGGTAGGGCACTAGGACTACAGTTTGAACCTGTCAATGCTATTAATAGAATTATCTCTTAAAAGTATGTAACAATATTAATTTGGCTTAAAATTATATAATGTGAAGAGTATCTATTCTTACTTTTGTAGAAAAGTACCTGTTTTATTTAAAATAATAATAATAAATGTCTGTAATAAATAAATAATTAAGACATTTTAATAATACTCTGTCAACTTTTTAATACTTGATTCAGAATTTATTACTATCCATTAAAGTAAAAGCTATTAATAGTTTACAATAATGAAAAATAAATTAAAATCTTCCATTTCACAAGAACACGGTGTTATATTATCTTAAAACAATGTGAATGTAGTTGATATGACATTTAAAATAATACATTGTTCATATTTTATCTAGTAATCAAGATTTACAATGTTTACAATAAATAATTCACTAAGATTTAAGATTAAAAAAAAATGATTAACTGCTAGGTTAAATGTGTATAAAACATTTATTGTTAATTTATTAATTAAAGAGGTAATGTGCTTTAATTGTAGTATTTTACTTTCAGAGAGGTGCTTGCGTGAAGGCTTTATATAATATACATATTTTAAGAATTTTATTCGTCATCAGTTTATATGTTAAACACTGATGATTAATAAAACAGAAATGTTTAGCATTTCTAATGAAGTTGAAGGGAGTTGGTCAATTAGTATTAAAAATTAAAAATAATACTCCATAAATAACACAGAATCAAAAGGATGGTCTTAAATTTTATTAATTATCACTTTATATGAGGTTAAAATAAAGTTATAAGTCATTCTTTTGGTTATATGTGTTAATATATAGAATATCTTTTAATATTTACATTATTAATATATTTTTCTTAATTATTTACACTTTATTAATTGAGTTCATAGTGTCTTTTTGTTTTTTTTTTATTTAACACCCAAGGGCATATACCTTTCTCTATTCCTGGTTCTGTTTAATTGTAATTATTTAAGAATTATTTCATAGTTTTATACATAACTAGCAGCAGTTTTTGTAAATTATTATTTGTAAAAAAGCATGTTATAGATTTTTAAGTTTTGATGATGAATTTTACGCATTTTAGAGCATAAGTGGAGACCATAGAACACACTTAATTTAGGACAATTATATAAAAAAAAAACCTCCTAAAACTTACTTATTACTGTATAAGCTTTAAGTTATCTACATATTTATACGAATTTGTATATATTTTTATAGATTCTTAGTTTTCAAAGCAATTCGCATGTTATCAAAAAATAAGTGTTCATTTCTGATGCAGAACAAACAAATTATGTGTTATTTTGTCTCGTTTGATATTTGTACATAAGTAGATACATGATTTATCTAACAGTTTATTATTTTTTTATTAATATTTATATAATTATTTAACATAAATTTAAACGACTAACTGATTAAATGTTTTATTTATTTATTCTGATGTAGGGTGCAAAGATTAAATCGCATAGATTCTCGTTCTAGTATTAGTCGTGATTCCCATCTTTCCTGTCATCAGAATCGTTTACTTGTCAGAGATCCCATGAATACTGAATATCGAGATGTAAAAAAGGCTAGACAACAGGTAATTTTTCAAATAATTTTATTTCATAACCATTGCTTAAACTATTTATACACAAATTACTATTATTATAAAGACTTCTTTATAAAAAGCTTACTTTTTATTATAAAACTTTATTATTATTATTATTATTATTTAATTCCCAACAATGATGTGTAAATTATCATTAATTTGATTGTAAAAATCTGCACTTTTTTTACAGTAAATGTTTAGGATTTGTGATATAGAAGGCTGTTTAATTTTATATAAAGTTTACATAGTTAAGTTATTTGAAAGATAATCACTATTCTGTTAAGTAATTAATCAAGTATGATGTATTCCTGGTGGGAATAGAATAATTTAATGTCAAAGAATCAACGGGGGTTTTCTCTGCCCTCTAATTAATTGGTCGTTTGTCTGGAGAATATCCATTTCCTTTTCTCTTGCCAACATTGGAAACTCTTTAGTGCCAAGGGATTACTTTTTAAAACTTTCCATAAATAATTAATCACTTAATAGGAAAAACCGTCTGGATTCTTTAATCACGTGATTGAATAATTGAAAAGGGGGTCATAGATAAATATTTTCTTTCCAAGAAAATATACTAATTAATGCAGCTAGATACCGGTTTATTCATTCATAACATAATGCTAGATTATTAATTATTATGTGAAGATATTCTATTATCTGATTGATAATTTAGTTAATGGATGTGGAAATGAATTGATATTCTACTGGAAAATACATATTTTTTTAAATAATTTATTTTTAACATCATTATTTTAAGTTTAATTTACAGGGGGAAAAACTTTAAATTACAGGATAGAAGGTATATTATAATGTTAAATTTATATTTATCAATATATAGTTTTAAATATAAAAAATTGAGTAAATAATAGTTTTTATAAAAGTATTTATTTATATAGGTAATCAAGATGTTGATATTGGTTGTGGTCTTATTTTTGGTGTGTTGGGGTCCTAAATTGCTGATGGAAATCATTCGAAACTGCTGTTTGGATGTCTACAATCACGGAATTTATACAAGTCGCTTTATATTTTATCTTCTCCCCTTCGTTCACAGTTGTTTAAATCCTATCGTTTATTGTTTTATGTCAACGAAATTTCGAAGAAGAATGTTTCGTTGTTTCGAACGTACTTGTGGCAATACTTGCGTTTCAATATGTTGCTGTAAGACTCCATCAGTTAGAAGACAAGCCAGACATATGAGCACCATGTCCAGAAATGGTACAACTAGAGTGGGTTCTACTTATACTTTCACTTCCTATACTTGTAGTCCTTCTGGTGAAACAACAAAAATTACAGAACTTGATACTGTCACATTATAATGGGCTTAACATCGACATTAAGTCATCGTATCCCACCTTTTGTCACATGTATTGCACTGTAAAATATTCAGTTTTAATTCCATTTATTAATCTATTTGTATGTATGTACATTATTTTCTGTAATTATAAACGTTTTAATATTTGTATATTATTAAAATACTCAATAATATATAGTTCTGTTCTTCCTATATTTTAAAGCNTTTAATATTTTTAAGTTTTGGTCTTAAAAAATGGTAATTATGTATATAGGTAGTCCAAAAGTCAGTTAACCGTTATAAAAACTAAATCTCTCTCTTATTCAAATATTTTGTAAGTAATATATTATGATTAATTAATCATTACAATTGTTAACTGACTTGTGGACTACCATGCATAGTTAAATACAGTATATATTTTATATGATTAATTATGTTTTATTCGACTATTTTAATAGGTTAATTGAATTATGATATGTAAACTTCAAGTAAGAAAATCGAAACCAAAGTATGAAAGTTAAATACATTTATAAAAAATGCATCATTGTTTATCTAATTACACTTTGGATTCGCCGAATGGCACCATCACCACCCCTTGCAACGTTACTAATATGACATCCGTTAGTGAAGACGATGATCTTCCAGATGATGTTATTTTTTGGGATCATCCCGAAGAAATGCTTATACCATGGCTTGTTAGCAATTATTTTTTTCCTATCGTTATCACCTATATCATTACATTTGTTGTGGGAGTATCCGGTAATGCTGTCGTCATATCAGTCATGGCAGGTGATAGAACATCCAGAAACGTAACGAGCATTTTTCTCGTAAGCTTAGCCGTTGCTGATCTCCTTCTATTAGTTATATGTGCACCTTTGGATGTGGCACATTATTTTGTGGTTCAATGGGATCACGAAGGAGCCATATGTAAATTGGCTGCATATGCCGAAACTGTATCTGCATTTGCATCTGTACTGAATCTTGTTGCTGTGACGTTAGAAAGGTAACAATATATATATTTTTTATTTTAATTATAATTGAAAATTAATCTAACTTAATATTTTTTAAATTTCATTATTTTTAAATTATTATTATGAATTAAAATAGAGTTCTATTATACTTAAATTACTATATACTGTTTAAATAATTTATTTATTTTCTTAAAATAAAAGGTTAATATTTCAAATATTTATTTGCTTTTTATACAGTATACTCGCTTTTACGATCGGATTAACCTTTGTTAATAGAGCCGTCGTAAAGTGAGACGTCTTATTTCCTATAAGCTCAACGTCATAAATTCAGATTACGTTCCAGGAAATGGGGTTTTAACTATATAATATCACATTAAGACGGCTAACAAATATTAAATATGGTAGTAAAATACAGCTTCTCGTATAGTCGTAATAAGAAATTTATACTAGCCATAAAATAGGGAATTGTAAAACCAGCGGTCGCAAAGCAGGGATATTTTCTAAGAAGTTCCTTCAAAAATTTATGATACTTTTTAAAATTTTAGACGATCAATTAGCAGAGATTTAACGATTACAGCCTTATAAAACATTAAGAAAGTTTTATAAAAAATTCAAATTTTTCTTCATTTCGAATACAAAATATTTATCATTTTTAAACGAGAATAATATAATATATTTTATATAATTAATTGATATTTAAGTTTTGCTTTGAATTCTTATTATTTATTTTTTAATATATATATCAATATCTCTGTAATACTAACCAGAAAGAAATACTCAAAAATTGTCAGTACAATTTATATTTATTTTAATGTTTTTACAAATAACAAAATTAAACTTTCTCAAATTTTTATTTAAAATGTAGTCTAAATTATAAATTTAAAAATTATTTATAATTTATACTTTTCATTTAGAATCAGGCTCAAGTCATAAATGTATCAAAAGGAACTTTAATTCATATCGCTTTCGTATTTGTTTTTTCCCCCTCCCTTCACAAAAAGCGAAATTTTAAGGCCTTTACGCTTGGCATTTTGAAAAGACTAGCATTTATACTTTGCCCGTTAAGTGCAACCCTGTTAAGCACCGAGGCCCCATTAAGCACGAGGCCCTGTGCTAATACACAGGTCGCACACTGCTGAACTCTGTGTTCGAGGCCCGAGTCGAATGACCTAGCATTCCCTTTCTATCTGGACCTGCATATTTTACATAGATATGTCATTAATTTATATAAGTGTTATAATAATCAACAATGCAACAAATATTTTATAAAGAATATATTTAAATACTTCTCGATATGAACTTAATTAAATAATTTCATAATTATACATAAATATAAACTTATAAAAACTTAAAACGTATATAATTTCTGTCATTTTATAGAAAATGTTTAAAGATTTTTTATAGTTTTATGCCGTTTTAAAAAAAAAACATTTTGACATTCTCTGACATTACATTACAAAATTTCAAAAATACGTCCGTTTCTTTGCTTTAAAAAATGAGTATAAAAAGCAAGAAGCAGACATCTGTCAATGAAAGATATTCCATTTTTTTATGGAGTAACAGGTAAATATTACTTTTTCGGTAAGAAGAAGTAGACAAACTTTTCTATCACTCACATTGAATAAACGATAACATTCTACTTATTCTGATCAAACTCTGAATCCTTAAATTAGACATCAGTGACCTAGTCAATGTCTACTTTGACTTTGATATTTTCTAGAGTCACACCACGTATCTTTTTAATCTATGTATTAGTTCCTCTTCGTGTTATATTACTCCGATTTAGGGCAACCGAAAAACCAAAAAAAAAATAAAGAAAGTTTTATTTGGAAAAGGGTACGTGACAAGATTAGACACTCTATCTCTTATTGTATTCACTATATTCTCTTAGTATGTACGGTATCGGGATTAAACTGGTGGTTCAAAAAATCAAACTCTCTAGTCACGGATATTTGTATAAACTTGTTAAACAATTTGCATTCTTAGCAACAGGCACCTATTTAGAAAGCTTACAGTATACATGTGGACACTCCATCTTATTGCTTTGAAAAAATGAAAGGGCAAAAATATT